CATATAAAGATGACAAATAGAACTGGCAAGGTCATAAATTGTGATTCCATTCAAACTATTAAGGATAATAATTTAAGTGACTTCTTCTGTTTGACTAGAACTGGAAGAGTTCATCTTGCTCAGATTCTCTAGGCTATAGGTGGGTCAGTGTTGTGGATAAGAATGGGTTGAGTGGCAACTATTGAGGCAATTGATTATTCCAAAAATAAAAGCTTTTGCTAATTGTTTCACTTCCTTTTATTCGGTTAAGTTTTTGTTTTACTTTCTAAGAACAACTATTTTCTGACAAAACATGCAAAACAGGTTTTTAAAAAATCCCGATTTAATCAGATGCTCAGAGAAGTTGAATAGCATGACCAAGACTATGTCTTATAATAATACATTGAAAGAGCCATTATTGCAGCTAGATCTATCTAGGAATGAAATTTGTCTTTCTGGCCAGAGCAGTATATATGTTCTTTTGGAAATTCCTTAGAACTCTATTGAAAGGAATTTAAATATTCAAGTGTTTGACAATTAAGTTATTTTCTCGCCAGGCTTTAAATTCTCCAGGAGTTAGTGACCAAGATTAAAATAAGGGTAAAATACCAACACTTGTCAATGAGAGGATCAAATTGTAGGTTTTAGAGATAGAGAGAAGACTTGCTAATGAAAAAAATTTGCAACTTCTCTTCAGCCAAGAAGTTGTGCATACACCAAGAGGTTCTCACTAATGTTGTTCTTAGGCCAAAGGGTAAGGGATAAGATTTGTCCTTCCAAATCTTTTCTTTCAGTTCTTTCCTTTATTTCTATAGGTATCTGGAAACTGTGCTCTCACCTAATTGTAAAGTAATCCCCATAGGATGTTAGGAGATGACTTCCCTTGTTACTACTTCCAAGGGTATTTGCATTTTAATGGGAAGTTTTAAAGGAATTTAGAGCATCAGGACTGAAAGCAATAAATCTCTTTTGGTGGAATTCCAGGCAATGTGATAGATTAGGCAAGAGATATCTGTAGTGAAAGGAGCCCAGTGGGTCTATTCAAATCACAGCATGAATTTAGTGTTCTACTGAGTCCTCTGACTTTCACTTCCATAGTGAGGGTTAGGAGTGCCACTCCTGTGGCCTGAATAGTAAAATACTCCTAAACAGTTCCATTTTCTGTGAAAGAGTGAAACATTTCAGACTTTCAGACTTCCTTTTCCATGTTCTCCATGGCATTTTGCTTGAGGTATCTCTAAACTTCTGTTCTCTTCTGCTAGGCTTGAGAAGTCTATCTAGCATTATGTTTAGACTTGGAACTTCAAATTTATTTTATGCCTTACTTTTCACTTCCTGGAAGCTTCAAGGCCATTGGACTTGATGTGATAAGGTACTTAAAGAATACAAAGAATCTGGAGTGCGTGTGTGGTGGTGGGATGACTTGCCAAATAAGTTAAATTTTTCTGAAGTACATGCAATGAGCAAGGCACTGAGCTGTTTTTAGAACACGTAGATATACCTTGGGCACTTTCTGCTCTGTGGTCTTGGTAGTGAAACAAATAAGCAGATTACTGCAGTTTGTGTAGAAAGATCAGTGCAGGAAGAGCTGCTTGCCATAGGCTATCATTGTATAGGAAGAATACTAACTAGAAGTGGTAAGTAAGGAGGGTGATTAAGGCAGCTGGATTTCACATACCTGACTGTGCAGTTCAAGTCTCTGACCCAGTACCTTGAGAAACATATTAAGCATGTGTGGGTGTGTGCCCAAAATTCTAAAGGGGAGAAATGAGAAGAGCTTGCAGTGTGACCATGGAGCATGGTGTTTCCTCAGTTTCTGTCTGTCTCTACTTCCCTCCGCCTACACATACATCCTCTGATAAAATAAAAGAGAAGGATGATTAAAGTGTGTCTTGTTTACACAGGTAACATGGGGTTGGGAATGGATTGGCGTAGAAAAGGACTTTGGTGGCAAAGGAGGGCGCATCTATAAAGATTGTGTAATGGGAGGTAAACTACTCAAGGTTCTGTTATGAAACTCGGTTGGGCCAGTACAAGCCATTCGTGCAGGAATCAAGAGAGAAATTGGAAAGATGGGCTGGGATCAAGTACTAAAGAGCCTTGGTGCTGTTTCATGAAGTGTGAATCCAATATAGAAACAATGGCGCCTTTTTTTTTTTAATTGAGTTTATGATTTCTCATTTATATTTAATTGTGTGTTTTGTGGTATGGTTTTTCGAATCAGTGATATCTTTATGGGTATGGCCAACATGGGCAAATTGTATTTTAGAAAAACTGTTCTCAAATCAGTGTTGAAAGTTGTTTAGACTCTAAACTGTAGGCTTTTGAGTGAAAGGTTGGAAATAGGTTCTGGAAGAGTTTAGAAAGCTTAACAGTTGATCAAATAAGAAACAAGAGACCTGGTGGTGGCAGAGTGATAAAATATAATGTTCTGTGGTGAGATAGACCCACATGGGAGGGTTCCAGTTCATGTCAAGAGACTATCTTAAGAATACTGTTAATGGGTATGTCCATTATCCAGTACTCACCAAAGCTGGGTTTGGATGCAATATCAAGACCTTACTGAGAGTGATTTCTCTCATTCTGCCTGTCTCTCCTATTAATGAAAGAAAAAAACCTTAAAAAAAAGAAAAGAAAAAAGAATACATGAGAGATTTATCTGGTTGATAGGATGGGAGACATAAAAGAGAGAATACATTAAAGAAATGTCTTCATGGAGAAATTTGAGTGTATCAGGGACAGGTGAAAATGGAAATGAGTCCCGGATTTTTGGCCTAGTCACTTAGCTTCCATTTTGCTG